AATCAAATGGTCAGGAAAATTCAAGGAATTGAGAAAGCATGTAGAAACCAACAGCCAAGCATAATTTTGCGTCAAAAATGGCTGACAAATGCAAAATTTAAAGTAAAAGAGAAAAATGAAAATTTTCTCAAATCTTGAATTCCCTTCTCTATTTTTAAAATTCCCTTTTGTGAATAAACTGTCATAAGAAAATAATTGTATTTCTAAAATATATTTTTGAAGGATGCTCGTTTTTTTTTTTTACTCAGTTTGTTCTTCATTTCTCTAGTCCAGTTGGTTCCTTGAAGAAAAATGGTAAAAAAAATACCTACCCTTTTGCTGATGCATGAAAAGTTTGCTGATTATATGGAATTTGCTATTTGAGACACCCAAGATTATTCTCAAGATTCAACATGAAGACTGAACCCGTTGTTTTCAAAGGCTTCCTATTTGTTGATCATTTTGCTTCTATAGGAAAGCAGAAAAATGTCTCCCATTGGGAACAAATTTTATTCTTAGTGTTTTTCTTTTGATCCTTTTTTTTTTTTAGACAATTTTTTGCGCTGAGTGAATCAACCAGGCTTTTCTTGGACTTCGGCTATGCCTGTGTTTTTAGTAGACAAATTTTACAACGATAACCCAGCTCTTTTGCAGAATGATTTTAAAAAAATATTTGCCATTTACATTCATTTGTGCCATTTTTAGGGTACATATACGAAATGTTTTTCTTCTTCCTGTTGGAAAGAACGTTTAGAATTTATTTTATTTATTTTAACTCATGAAAGAAAAGCAAATTCTCTTGTGTGTCAAATTTCTGAAGCGCCCGGACGCCACTGCTGTAATCGTTGACCGGCGGCGGCGCGATCATCGATTTGCGCGGGCGTGATCCTGGTGCCTCGCAATTTTCCGACTCGGCAGTCGCCATTATCCTGATTACCAGCTTCTTGCCGCGAAACCATGTTTATACGCTTATTTTTTTTGGCAGTTTGCTGCTGCATTCAAATTTATGCGTGGGCGGGCTTGTGAGAGGGGTGCATGAGGGGGAGGAATAAGAGGAGGTTCATTGTTTTCCTGCCAGCAGTTGTGACATGGATTTTTTGTTATTATTTTTTTTTATTTTTTACGGGGATACGAGCCGCCGTTTTGTTGGCTGGCAACAGGGAAACTCATCTGTCATAATTTTCGCAGCTTTCTCTTCCTGCGAATTGCTCGCATTGCAAAAACGCTCCGCGAGTTCCTTCAAAATTGCAGGGGTTAGAAAAATACTATGGTGAAATTTGCGAGAGAATAAGAAGAGCAAGAGACTTTTAAGTCATGTTGCGACACAGGTGTAGCGTGTAAGTGATGTTACGAATAATGCTGTTTTTTTAGCCGATTTTTTTTTCGAAGTCCAAGCAGGAGCTGTACTGATTAATTTCTCGAGAATCTTCGATAACACGAAGCAAAAAATAGTGAAAAACATTTCGTATAACGAGCCAAATTTATTGGAAATTAACTTTTTCATAACATTCCTCGCCGAAAATGCCCTACGTGCAGAAAATCAATTTTTGACCGAAAAAAAACAACAATTTGAAGGCACGTCTGCTGGAGGAATTTTTACATATGTTTCACAATATTTCGGCATCACACGAATATCCTCGAAAATTTGATTATGTACACAGCAAAAGGAATTCTCATGAATAATTTGATCTTACAAAAATATCCGATTTTGTGAGTAAAATACCTTTATTGGCACCACAAATTATTTTTGAAGAACGTATTGTTACAGAAAATACAGTAGACCTGTACCTGATCTTGATATACAATGTAGCAAAAAAGTTTTTAATGCAATTCTGTTTTTGGAATTTGTTTGTAAAGATTCCCAGCAATATAACATTTTTTAAACACACACACTAAAGGCTTTTATTTTCAACATGGTCCAACAAATTAATGTTAATTTCAGGTCTTTTTTGGTACAGTAAAGTGGGACCCCAAGATGCAGAAGTAATATTGGTGCTAAAAATTGAATGAAATAATTTTTTCTCAACTTCAAGATACAGAAAATAAATGTACAGAAGAAAACCACCAAAAATCTGATCTTTTGGCATCTGAAGGGTTTCAAGAAGTGAAGAACAAGAACAAGTCTAGCTATGCTAAACACACATTATGGGTAAAAAACTATAAAAAAAAAGCACAAAAGCAGCCTGTCTTTGATTAAGAATTGGGGTAATTTTATGGTGGAATTGATTTTTAGCAATTTTTAAGGTAAATTACCTAATTTCTTTAAAAGCCTGAAAATTGTGAATATTAAAATTTTTTTAATTCTTCCAGAAATCTTTGACAAGTAGTACTTATCTTGAGTCACTGTCCAAAGTTCAGAGTTAGATTTTTTTTCCAGTTCGAAGTGTCCCTATGTCAAATTGCCCATATGTCAGGCGGTGTCTGTATTTTTGGGTCTCACTGTATACACATTTCTTGCAAACCACCCTTTACGGTAAAATGGGAGGAAATCATTGACAATAAAGCCCTCCTTTTCCCTGGAGTATATGAGCCAGGATATAGAATTTCCGTCTTTGCAGGCCAAGTCGGACACGGTCCAGCGATCCCTGTCCACTTCCCATCTACTGGGCAATGCCTGTTTCATCAGTCTCAATTACAATCTCTTGTGTGTCCTCAGCAGGAAAAAAAAAACGATAAAAGAATAAAATTGATAAAAAAAATAAAGAGAGAGAAACAGGGGGTATGGAAAGAGGAGCATTATACAGTAAAGTCGTTTTTCTTTTCTTTTCGCGTCACTCAAGCCGGCTTTGTGTGACAAACAATGGCAGCTACGGAGACACAATAGCCAGTGATTTTTTTTTTGTTGCCTTCTTTCTCCTGTGCTGGGCTATAAATTTTGTGTTTTTCGCATGGCAGGAAATCTGGAAAGCCGAGGGGGTGAGGGGGGTTCAGTTCGTTATGAAAAATGGCGACGTATCCTTGTGTGCTGCTACTCGACGCACTTGTCCTTTCTACGCCCATAAAAATGAAAATAAACACTATTCACAACAAGGAATATATAAGTCACATGAGTTGAGTTGGAGCAGCACTTATTGGATGAAGAAAAAGGCTTCCCTGGAATAAAAATTATGGAGAAATTGACCTAATCGCTCACAAGTACTGTATCTGAAAATACAATTTCCTGCTGAAAAAAATTAAATATGATATGTCTTTGAAGAAACTTAAGCCTATTGTAATTACAGTGGGTCCATGCATAACAAAAGACTTGCACTTCAAAAATTTGCCCAATGAAAATTCTTCATAAAAAAAGAGACAAATACAATTTTTTCAACAACAAAATTTTTGTGCCACAAATGCTTACATTATAACAAGCTGCAGGGTAAAATACTAAAAAAATTCAGGAAAACGACAAAACAAGGGCATAGTTTCTACCTCCTTTAATCTTTACCTTTTCTGGGGCATGGACCAGTAAAGTCCCAAAAAAATGTCTGCAGACCAGAAACATTTTATAAAATTTTTGCAGACTCACAAAATTTTTTCTTGAGTGTTATTAGGCTGGTAGATACAAGAAAAATTCAGTTACTAATGTCATCAAACAATTGGAAAGGTAGGCTTGGAGAAAGGTTTCTCAAAATGAAAAATAAAACTAATTTATTTCATCAGGTGAAAATTTTTCTTAAGTTATATGAGGAGAAACGCCAACTTTTGCTTTCATCAAATAATTAAACTGCCATGGTCCTTCCAAAATTTTGGGTAAAGAGAACAGATTTCATCCAGCCTTTTGATGAATTTATTATGCTGAAAATGTCCTGTGAACTGGCAAAAAACTTCTGCAGTCTAGTTAGTGCCAGTCTAAAAATAATGGGTTGTGGGACACTGATCCATACAATTTGTGCTTAAGAAGTTTCAGAGCACAAACTTGCCAGGATCTCTATCAATCCAAAACTCACAATTTTATGCTAAAGATCAGAGAAAATGCAAACTTTTCCAGGTTTATGAAGGTACAGTGAGACCCCAAGATGTGGATGTAATTGGTGCATCAAGGGTGTCCCTAAGTCAAAGTGTCCCAAAGTTGAGTCTCATTTTCCCTTGGACTTTCATTATATAATGTTTAATTGTTGTTTTATTGACAAAATACTCACCATAATTCCATGAAATTAAAAAGATCTCCCAATTGAAACTGATTCAATAAATATATTACAACACAATATATTATCATTTGGGGAATTGAATTCTGATATACTGTATCTGTACAGTACATAGAAATGCTTGTTTTCTCTGTCAAAATAACATTCAAGTGAAAATGAGCAAAGGAAGTCCCTCTCTGCTGGAGGTAATATTTTAAATTAGCAAAATGGATGGTAAATTGGTGAGATGAATGCCCAAGAACTTTTCTTACATCAATGTTAGGGTCAGAAATATTTGTTTCTTATTATTGTAAATTGGCCTAAAACTTATCTGCAATTTCATCACAAAATGTCCCTATGTCAAGTCAGTGTCCTCATGTTGGGCCTATTTTATCAATTTTTTATTAGAAATAAGTGTCCCTACGTTGAATTGTCCGCAGGTCAAGGTGTCCTCATATGGGGGTCTAACTGTATTTCAACAAGTGTCCAGAACAAATTTAAGTGCATATCCAGGACAAGGGCTCTCTCCACAACAAAATTCAATGGACAAGAAAAATGTATTGTAGTTGGATTTTCTTGTAGAAAACACCAATAAAATCAGAAGAAACCCCTATAGGACCAAAAACATTCGATATACAGAAAAAATGTTGTGGAGATAGTTAACCTGTAATGTATTCTTGAGAGAAATGGGATTTTAAATTTTTTTTCTCTCAAGGAAATGCATCCAGGAATGAATTACTTTAGCTTTGTTATGCAGGAGCTCACTCTATCAACATCTTTGGGGTGATTATTCCGACACATCGATTGCAGAGGAAGTGTCATTTAATACTGATAATTGCTTCTTTTTTTTTATGTGTCTAGACCTCTAGGCGATGCATGACAGCCAATAAGCAGGAATACGGTGCACGAGGGCATTTAGCAGCTTAATTCTTCCGGCGGGATATTCGCCGACAGAGTACTTTGCAAAAAAAAAAAATTATCGACATAAAAATTAAATAAATAATAGGACAAAAAATGAGGAAGGGGACTCTGGATCAATATTGGATCGAGTCGGCTTTAGCGGCACCGAAATGTCGCTGGAACGCCGGTTTCAAGTGCGTGGAACCCGGTCCGTTTTGAGGACTTGTCCCGCAGGACAGGTTTCCATCCCTCTCCTGCGAAGGAATTTCAGAGTTCCTGTAAATTTTTTTTTTATTGTTGTTGATCGCATTAATTTAAGGAAGGTGAACCTGCAAAGCTTCAATATTCTTGAGCACAATTTCAAAATAATGCACTTCTAAAACTGTGGATTGCTGTCCTGATTTTGGATCACATTTTCCTAGCTATGTAAACATAAATAAGAGCATTTTGATCCCTTTTCTTATAAAAAATCAATGAAAGTCTTCCAAAAACCAATTCAATGCTGCTGTGACCTAAATTTCACAAAAGGAGGAAGAATTCAAAAATAAAACACAAAATCAGCTGTGGGGTTCAGCTGGGGATCTGTTTATGAGATCCCAAAGAAAAAGATAAAACCGTATTTCAAAAAATTAACCCCAAAACACAAAAATGGACCTTTTCACACAAAATCAATCACACAACACAATTTGATGATACTTTGCACTGCACTGTCTGTAGAATTTGATAATATGGCGTCAGCCAGTCTGATGTTCTCCCTCTCTCTCTCTTGCAGGACTCTCTTCTTGATCCTGCTTGGCTGAGGAGTTAAATTTGAGTACTTAATTAACCTGGGCTGCCATCTAGTTGCAGTCCAGGTAGAATATTCTTGAACATTCTTGAGTACAGTGGCCCCCCGCCTAACAGACCTCCTGTGTAAGGGATTTTTGCCAAACAGACCAGCTCTGCAAGCAGTTTTTCCTCCCACCCAACAGACAAAATCTGCCAAACAGACTTCTTTTGGTTTGAAATTAGTGTTGAAAATTGAAATTTTTAATTTTTTATGTAATTGAATTTGTGTAAAGGACTTTTTGTCTAACAGACTTGTCCCTTGCACAAATCAAGTCTGTTAGACAGGGGTTGACTGTATTCCTAAACTTACTTGAATTTGTTTTTACAGATGATTGATGTATGCATGCATGGGGAACGGTACTGTAACGTACCAAATTATTCCACCACAGCTGCATCTAAACTTTGAAAGGCAAAAAATAACTGTGTTGAAGAAAACCACATACTCTAGCTGGCTTTCTGGAGTGAAAATGAGACAAAAGTACAAAAAATAACACACATACATACTGCTACAGTATGCTGTAACTGTGAACAGTTGAAAGCAACCCCATAGAAAGATAAGTGCACAATTTGCCAACTTTGGAAATAAATTGATTTAAATTTATAATTAGATCAATTTTGACTCCATTTTCATGGCACAGTGGCACTTCTGTAATAAGTTGAATTAGGATGGACCAGGAAAAAATTGACTTAAGGAGGTTTTGAATTAAGGGGACAAGCATTTTTGTTGGAAAGATAGAAGAATTACAGAGCATTGTAAGTGGTGATATTCTGGGCCTTGAATTGCTTCTTCAATGAGTTAACAGGGTGCCAAACTTAAGGACAGGGGTTAGTTTGCCCAGCAATTAGTTACTTCCTGTCACAGCATGTTGTTAGTTTTTATTGCTTTTCTCTTTTCTGTGTCAAGAAAGTAATAGCCAAAAGGCCTTAGTAAATTTGATTTACTGAGGTTTGAGAGGAAAAGGCATTGAGTTTGAGAGGTGTGTTCCTGAAGGATTCAAATGGGGAATTGAAAAAAATTCAACTATGGTATGACAAGGTATTTGACTGCGGGAAGTTTGAGTAACCAAGGTTAAACTGTAGGGGCTCAATTTCTTCAGGAGATAACAAAATGTTTAATACATTTTCCTGGAAATTCTTTTAAAAATTCATATCATAACAAAATGAATTTAATCCAGAAAATGTGAACAACTCAGATTGTCAAGACCTCTCCTAGCTGTGTCCAGGATCCAATTATTGTGCAGCTTATTCTGCGGACAGATTGGCCAGACAGACAGATTATCAAGTGCACTGTTGGAAAGAGGTGCCGCGCCGACGTCTGGACAATCCCCCAACCGACAAACAGGGTCTTGGCGTCAGCGATGAGTTGAGAGCCAACACTCAAGTTTTCGTGGGCATTAGGATCGTTTTTTTATTTCTTTTTCTTATTTAAATCCCCTCCTTCTTGCAAGAAATAACTCGCGTGTTTTAGGGTCTCTTCCGCGTTACGTATTTGTTTATTTCTCGATTCCTTTCAAATTTCCGCCCATGGGGAACTTTGTTCTGCGGCAAACTTTTTTTTGTTTGTTGCCGGAATCGAAATATCTTGCGAGAGAAAACATGGCTTCAGCTTAATTGGCAAACATCATTTCAGCATTTTTTTGCGTCAACGCCAAGGAATTTCATTTATGCTTTCCACGAATTCAGCTCTTGGATTTTTAGAAAATAAAAGATATATGAAATAAATTTGACCTTTTTTCGATTGACCTAGCATCGATCCCTCAAAAGTCATGTTTCCATCACTCCATGTGCTGTACGACTTTTATTGCCATGAATTATTGTCCCTGCACTGATGGTAAAAAAAAAATAGCAAATTTTGCTTCATATACTGTACAGTATAGCGTTTATTTAATTTGGATGATGAATCAATCACATAAAAACTTGAAGCACTGGCTGAGTTTTGTTATTTCCATCAAGGGCACGTTGAATTGGGACAGAAAAGATGCATCCTGCAACCAAAGGAATCTTTCTCACTGTTTCTTGTTATTAACCTGAAAAAGAACGGCAAACTAAAAACTTTAAAAAATTCTTGGACAATCCTAACCTAAAATTAAGTTTAAAAAAATAAATTAACTTAAAATATAACATATTCTTGCTTTCCAAAGAAAAAATATAGTAAGAAAACCCCAAAATGCGGATGCCCCAGCATATAGATAATATGAACTAGGGACACTTGAAACAAAACAAAAAATCTTCCCCAACATCCAGACCATAATGGCTCAATATATAGGGACACTTTGCCAACATTTTTTCCAGAAAAATTAAAATTGTTACTTTTACATTTTTATATCTGTTGAACAAGTTGCGCTGTTTGTATTCTCAAACTAAAAAATGTATTTCAAAATAATGAATTTTCTCTAATGCATAATCTAACTGGCTGATTTTGTGCTTCATTTTTTAGAGTTTATTCTATCATCTGTGCACATAATAATGAAGCTTATTATTGTTATTTGTATTTTTGAGAGCCTTTCGATGCCAAATGATCAGATTCTAGATGGGTTTTTTTCTGCAAAGTTGTTTTCTGTATCTTGAAGGTGAGGAAACAATTATTATTAACTTTTTGTGGGACTTATTCCTAATTTTTGATGAACAGAAGAACCAATTTAATATGTTTACATTGAAGTCTATTGAAAAATCATATCACACATGCAGAAAAGCCAACATAAGTCCAAGCAACAATTACATCCTCGTATTGAAATTAAATACAGGACAGTAAATGAAAATTAATTTTAACCACTTTTTTGCAGATTTTAATTTTTTCTATTCTTAAATTTTCCTCTTATATTTGTCCCACTTTTTCCATGACAACTGCAATATTTCCGGATATTGTAGAATATTATTTTATCATGGCAGTCAACCAGACAGCAGATTTATTCCCTGCTGTCCAATTCCCTTGTCCGCCATGATGGGTCCACAACAGCGCATGAAAATAACCCTCATCAACCTTCAATAACTTTATTTGCCTGAAAAACAATGCCAAGTATGGAAACTACGCCCAGCCAACTGTGCAGCAAATCCATTGATCACCACAGCATAAACCTACCTTTCTTCTTTTTTTTTTGTCCCCCATTTCCGCAAATGGGAAGGAAAAATTTGTCAATGTGTCAACAATAAAAATCGCGTGTCACCATAACTTTGACATCACCTGCGAATGAAAATTGCCTTTTGTTTCTCCGGCTATAGCTTGTCAACGGCTGAATTAACTTTAAAAAACGAGGGAGTTCTTTTTTTTATCCAACAAACCTTTTCACTCTCAGGGATAAAATGCAAATAAATTTTTTTTTTTATTTGAGCTGAACAGGAATTCGAATGAAAATCTGTGACGCATCTAAATCACGCGGAAAGTTCCTCATAAAATCTTTTTTTTTTTTATTATGAGGTTCAAGAATTTCAGCGTTGTGTTTCAGAAGGGCTCGTATTCACGCAAATGACCTTCCAAACCATTAATTTCTGCACAGAGAAAAAATGAATCGTAAAAAGCTATTTCTAAAAAAAAAAAATTGGGAAAAGAAGGATTTGTCACCTGTAAAGCACCGACACAAACAGGACAGGGAAGAATGTGAGAATAAGTGCAGGTGCTTCATTAGAGCAGCAGTTAATTTTTCACTCATCTATTATTTTTTTTGCTATTCCTTCTCAAGTTTCAATTTCAAAGAATGGTTTCCTTGAAAAAAAGCGTTTCAGGGCGAGGAAAAACGCAATAATTGACGGCTTAATTACACATTTCGGTGACAACGTTGTTCGTGGTGTTCATGGTCTTTTTTTTCCGCAGAAAATTTCACGACCCCCCGCGCGCACGACTTCCTGTGAGCAATTAAGTAGGTTTCTCTTTTCCCGCAGCCGCAATTAAAGTGTCTGTGTTGGAGTGGGAAATGGTCCATTAATAAGCGCTTTTCTTGGACTGACTTCCCGACGCACGAATGCTAAATTGCGTCCAGTTTGGTTCAGGTCTTTTCTAATTTAAAATGCTTCCTCTTTTCCTCTTCAATGATATCGAAAATATTTATGCGGAAATTTTGGCTATATAACTCCTTTCGCAGAGAAAACAAGGGAGAAAGCTGATGGAGTTTTCCTCTTGCATCAGCTGATGTTGCAGTGTATGATAATTTCACTGAAAGAAATACATTTCAGATTCATTTTTCCTCTTCAGCACGTTCTCCCAACCCTGTGCGGGGTTGGGAGAACGTGTTCGCTGCCACCGGGGCAACGGCATAATTAGCGTCTCCCGCGCGAATTGAGCCGTCAAAAAACCGGCCGCCGATCATTAGGCCGCGGCGAATGAAACAATTTTTCAAAAACACCCCCGTGTTTATGATGCCAGGACAAACAATAATGATGCTCCGTTTCCCGGGTTTGGCGCCGGAATCGAGACCATGGGAAACCCTGGCGCTTTTATTGCGATGAGGATGATGAATAATAATCAAGCGTGAATTATGACGTTTTTCCCGTCGCGCGGAGCTGCCTTTTTTTATATTTATTTCATGCTTTCATTGTCGTCTCTCTTCTCTCTTTTATATTTTATAAATATTCGATTTTTTGGGTTTGCATCATTTTCCAAATGCTTAGGTTTTTATAGTTCCGGGAGGCGTTTTCATTGGTCGAAAAAGGCGAGGGAAACGAAATGATTCTTGAGAGCGACTTTATAAATTATCTAGTGCAAAGTTTGGTCAAATTTCAGTTGAAGGAAATCTCAGGATCATGAAGGATTACTTCTTATCCCTGGAATAATCTTTTTTGTAAATTTTAATTCACTGTCATTACGACAAAAATGTTCCTTAAAATAATATCCCATGCCTGAGAAAATTACAGCGTCTCGAAAATTTGTTTGCCAGCGGATAATTTAATTTAATGCGTACGCATTTTGAAAAAATCTCTTAATGCAAAAATAATAAACTGTACCGTAATTTCAGAAACTTTCTTCTAATCGATCCATGCAAAGACGACTACCTTCAGACTTTCAAAAATAAGTTGGCGAACTAAAATTCCCTGAAACTTTTCTCATTATCACCTAATTATCAAGCAAAATTAATGCCATCTCGAAGATTAACCTTATTTCGGGGAGTATGAAAATTCCAATCAACGTTGAAAATTCTGTTGACATCAATGAATGATGAAATGAGAATGGCTTTTCGATAAATCTTCCAGATTTCGATTGCATGAAGGATTACTTCTTGGGACCCCTGCAATAATTTTTCAAATCAGTGACTTCACGTTTAATTGGGTTATGATTTTATCAAATAAGACAATATTGTTCCTCAAAATATCCCATGCATTTGCAGACCATAAGCGCAACTTTTTTTTCCATCGGAGAGGAACGTTCAGGGACGGTTAGAAGTCTGCAAAATACTCCGCGTGCAAATTTTGGCTTGCTTTGGGCAAAAATTCCAGACAGTTTTTGTCCAGTGGCCTCGAATCGAACATGTTTGGCGGCACAAGGGGTTTGAAAGGTGCCCTCACTTTCTGCGAATAGATTCCTTTCCAATCCAAATTTTTCCACCACGGGTGAAATCTGAAAAAAGAAATTCGTTATTAAAAGTTGATGCGTCAGAAGCCGAAATGAAAATTATATTCCGGTTTCAAAAAATAATATTCCTGCAAAATGGAGCTAAATCGGTACCTGATGTCGTCGACGTGATTGCGAAGATTTCCGTATCTTCGAGTGGGATCTGCTTGGAGTAAGTTCCTTATCAGATGGATGAGGTGTTTGCTGAAATACCCAGGCAATGAATATATTCCTTCGGAGATTTTTGAATAGATTTTTTCCTTGGCTGGATCCGAAAATGGCGTCGATCCCCTGCAGAAATTAATGCAAAAATATGGAAGAGTCGGAACATCCGCCGTTGATCGTTATTCGTCAGATCATTATTATTATTATTTGGAAACAAGAGTCTCATGGAATTATTCGAGTCATCATAATGCAGTTGAATCTCTTCAAGTCAAACTCTGAGTGACCGGCAAAATACTGGCATAGGGAGTTTTCAAGCTAAAGAGAAAGTGCCATTTTTGCAGAAAAAATAAGAATAAAAGGAAGTTGAAATCCTTGATCATCTGAGTCTAAAATTGCTGGGTAAATGAGGTGAGTATTTGCTCCATTGGCAATTCGTTTCGAATTGAAACCCATATAATAACTTGGAATTTTATATATCTTCCTTTCTAAAGGTCCCCATGAAAATAAACTAGAGACTTGAACAATTTCTAAATTATATGTTTGACAGTGAACGCCTTTGGTTTAATTAGGAGGATGAATATTCCACTCTGTTCTTGGAAAAATTCTTGATGGGTACAAGAAAACAATTCAAAATAGATTTTTGATTGAGATGGGCTAAATCTAGCGAGGTTCAACTGAATGTAATGAGTTTGTTAAATCCAGAAAACACATCCTATCTAAAATAGCAGAAGTTTCAAGATTTAGAGAATGATCACCAAGGATAAGAGTTGTGTGATATAGACCAGTATTCCCCAACTCAAGGTCTGCGGACCAGCACCAGTCCACAGAAGTTTTTTGCTGGTCCATGGGAAATTTTCCACAGAAAACTTGCATCAAAAGTAGCAATGGAGTCTATTATCTTTATCAGAAATTTCAGAAATGATGTGGAAGCTGGAATTATTGGTTGAAAAATAAAAGTTTTTGGTGCTTTCCTGTTATCTCAGTACATACTTTCCTGTTATCTCCGTACCTTCCCTTTGACCAATTTAACCTGACCTAACCTAACTTTACCTAACTGCCTCCCAAAATCAGTTTCAGCAGAATGAAGAAAAAAATTCAGTTTCTGGTAGGTTGTTGTGATTATGAACTTGTTCTAAAGATTTGTCTGGATGGTAGTGTGGTCTAGGAATGAGGTACTGAGATAACAGGAAAATACCAAGTTGGCTTACCTTTTAACCATTTACACAAATTTTCACAAGCTGACATGATTCATTTTAATTGTTTCATTCTGAAAAATCTTCATTCAAGCCCACCTTTCTAATTTGTTTAAAAGGACAAATCACTATAGCTGCTTCATTAGTTCTTGATTTTTGAAAAAAGTTGCAACTTTTTAAATACCTGCCATGGACTCTGTCAAGCAAATATTTCTTGAGTTTGCAAAAATTTTATGGAACTTTGTCAGTCCACAAAAAAGGTTTGAGGAATTTGTCAGTCCGCAGGACCAAAAAGGTTGGGAACACTGGGATCAACTCTTTCTACTACAATTTTGTCTAATATGATTTCTCTGCACAAAGAATTTTATGCGTACCATACTGGTTAAATCTACGATCCCCATACCATAGGGGTTCTCTACAAAATAAAAAAATTATCTTCAACAAATTGTTTCTGGCCCCTTTTGAATTTCATTGTAGAGAGAGAGTCCACCTACATTATCCTTGAATTGTTGGCAAGATTTAGAAATTTCACCATTTATTCTGGAAATTCATAATAAAATCAGAATTCTTCATGTATATATGCATGATCAATATTAACCTCAAATGAGAAAATTTAAATCCATTCAGAAAAATAAGGCTTGATCTGTTAATGCTCCTTTTGTAATTGAGCACCATAATATTTTCATTGACTCATTTCTTGCGTTCAACGAAACATTTACTTGCGTTGCGAGCTCATAAAGCAGGATCCCGAATGACCACCAATCAGCGGGAAATGCATGACCGATGTTGTCAATGATTTCCGGTGGCATGTACTCCGCTGTACCGCAAAAAGTCCACGCCCTCTGGTAGCCCTTTAGTAGCCTGGCAAACCCCATGTCTGAGATTCTAATGTACCCAGTTTCGGTCACCATTAGATTCTCGGGCTTCAGGTCCCTGTAAACCACTGACGAACTGTGAAGGTACTCCAGTCCCAACAGTACCTGTAATTTTTGCGCAAAGATTTAAAAATACATGTACCACGATAGCTGAAGGTTAGAGAGGCCAATAGTTTTCAACTGATGGTGCCGTACACAAGCGTTCCAAAAAAGAAATTGAAATGCATTCACAAAAAATCGCAAAAATTTTCATTCGAATAAATCTCAAGGACGCAATGGCTGCTATATGGATCAGGAACCTGAAAATTTATCTTGTGTTATAAGTTTTAAAAGGGTTCAAACGAAAATCCTTTGTATGAGAATTGAAAGTGCACAGGATTCAGTTGATTTTTTGGGAAATAGCATTTTGGCACATAAATAATCCAGTCCTGTTTGACATATTTTTGTGGCAAATGATTGCAAAAAGTCAAGCTATAGGTGAAACTTTCAGGCCTCTGGAGGTTTTATTTATTTTTGGCTTCTGGAGGTTTTTTTTCAGAAGAATAATTTTTTAAAGGCTGAATCCTTTGCAGTTTCAATTTTTATTCCAAGAACTCTTGTTAGACCTCATGTATTTCTTCATACAGTCAAACCTCTCTAAGTTGAATTTCAAGGGACCTGCAAAAAAATTTGACTTAAGGAGGGTCTGACTTAGGGAGGTCAGGAATTTTATAGGTTGGAAATGCAATACAAAGCCCTTTTTTCTGGAAAACTTGGATTAAATGGAGATATTCTAAAGTTTAAACGGCTTCTTAAATGAGTTGAAAGGCTGCTGAACTTGGAGGCAGGGGTTTATTTTCCCAATTAAGTCTTTCACTTCCTTTAAAACACGTAAGTTTCCACTTTAATGCTTCTTTGCTTTACTTAAAAAAAATAATGGCCAACAGCCTGAAGAAAATCCAACTTACAGAGGTTTGAGGGAAAAGGCCTTCAACTTAAGGAGGTTTTTTATGAATTGTTTCTAAAGGGATTCAGAGGGGATCTGAAAAAAATCTGACTCAGAGGGGTATTTGACTTGGGAAGGTTTGAGTTATTGAGGTTCAACTGTACCAAGATTCCTTTCAACAATACTGTACTTGGTACCCAACCAAAAGCCCTCCCTAGGTCAAATGTAAAACTAGGTCAAACTGATGACCATTGCAGGTGAAGAATCCCTTTATATACTCAACTCACCAACATACGGTATTGGTACTTGGCCTTGTGCTGGGCCTGCTGGTGAAAGGTGCAGCTTACCATCAAGAGTTACCAGAATACCTGTAATCCCCAATTTCTGAACCTAGGGGGGCTTTTGGCAGGGGGGGCTTTTGACCTAGGGGGCTTTAGGCAGGGGGGCTTTCCAGGGGGGGGCTTTTGGACTACACCCATCATGGCAAGTCAACCTCCCAGCAAATTTGACCCCTGCATTGTGGGACAGTTGAATTGCAGGTGCTTAAATTGTGAGGTATTACCTGTACAGGCAAACTCTCTCTAAAATATCTTGTCTACAATAAATTTCTCCATGTAACAAATTTTGTTTTGGTCCCATAGGGTTCTCTCCTTATGTTACAGTGGTTCTCTACTAGGAAATTCTCTCTGCGATAATTTTTTTCAGTCCTGTGAATTTCATTGTATAGAGAGAGTCCACCTGAAAATGTTTGCTTTACAATAAAATTTAGATTCACTTGAGCAGCGTAGAACTTGACTACGCCTTCATCAAAGCGTCGGTGTCTCCTAAGCAGCAAAAACAGGTCTCCTCCAGGACAAAACCGCATGACCATGTAAAGACAAGCATTGTCTTTAAAGCTGTGCAACAAGTACACAATAAAGGGGAATTCCACAGAGCGAAGAATGTCTCGCTCTCGCATCAAATGACGAATCTAAAAAAAAGAACGTGCAAAAAATACTTTTCATACCAATAAAATACCCAAACAAAATTAATCTACGCGTGACCAGGAAAACCATAGATTCATTTTCAAAGGTACAGTACTTCCTGATCATCTGTTGAATATATGAGACATAAAATAACTAACGTGAATTCCACAGTGAATTGCAGATAAGTGTAAGACACTTATAAACAATAATCTGAAAAGAAGTTAAGAAATTAATTGGTATCCCAAATAATGAAAGACTCATATATATGAGACATAAAATAACTAACGTGAATTCCACAGTGAATTGCAGATAAGTGTAAGACACTTATAAACAATAATCTGAAAAGAAGTTAAGAAATTAATTGGTATCCCAAATAATGAAAGACTCATGACAAACTGTATTTACTCAAGTACCACATGTTTTCAAGCTAGAAAAAATTACATGGAATTCTTCTGTGCAAAACCCTAATCCCATGTCATACACAGAACCTAATAACCCTAATTTGCATAAAAAGTTGAATTTTGCATATAATTATTTACTGAATTAAAATAATCTTACTTGAATGAATTAATGTTAATTCTTGGAAGAGGGGTTTTCTTTGAAATGATCGATTTTGTTTAAAAAATTACTGCTTGAGAAATTTCAGATAATTTTATGGAAATGGGAATGAGATTTGAAATGGAATAGCTATTCCAAAAATAGCGTAAAATATAACCTTGTTACAACAAAACTGTCAAGAGCTGGTAAAATTACTTTGTATAACAAAGGATTGGACACTTGAATGACATCTAGGCCATGGGTGACACAGGAAATAATTTCTTACAAGATTTATTGTGACAAGATTTGGTACTTTCCTGTTATCTCTGTAGCTCATTCCTAGACTGCACTACCATCCAGACAAATCTTTAGGATGACTTCAACAACCTACCAGAAATTGAATTTTATTTTTCCACATTCTGCTGAAACTGATTTTTTGAGGTGGTTTGGTAAAGTTAGGTTAGGTCAGGTTATGTTAGGTACAAATATAATAATAATAATAACAATAATAATGTTAGTTACAAATATCTTTTAACTAACATAACCTGACCTAACCTAACTTTAATATATGAGACATAAAATAACTAACGTGAATTCCACAGTGAATTGCAGATAAGTGTAAGACACTTATAAACAATAATCTGAAAAGAAGTTAAGAAATTAATTGGTATCCCAAATAATGAAAGACTCATCACAAACTGTAATTACTCAAGTTCCACATGTTTTCAAGCTATAAAAAATTACATGGAATTCTTCTGTGCAAAACCCTAATCCCATTTCATACACAGAACCTAATAACCCTAATATGCATAAAAAGTTGAATTTTGCATATAATTATTTACTGAATTAAAATAATCTTACTTGAATGAATTAATGTAAATTCCTGGAAGAGGGGTTTTCTTCAATATGATCGATTTTATTTTTAAAAACTTACTAACTTGAAAAATTCAGATAATTTCTATGGAAATGGGAATGAGATTTGAAATGGAATAACTATTCCGAAAATAGCGTAAAATATAACCTTGTTACAACCAACCTGTCAAGACCTTGTAAAATTACTTTGTATAAAAAAGGATTTGACACTTGAATGACATTTAGGTCATGGGTGAAATGAGATATAATTTTTTACAAGATTTATTGTGACAAGATTCAATTGTTGCCATGAATTTAAAAAAAAGGATAATGTACCTCTCACTGGAGCATATCGTCCATATTTAAATATTAGTTGAATAAATCCGGAACTACATATAGTGTGTCAAAAAATAATTCCACTTATTTTGACTTACCAGCCGCGTACCTTCAGCCGGTTCACAATCTTTTCCTTGACCAGAATCTTCATGGCCAGGTGCCTTTTGGTCGCCTTGTCCTGGCACAAAACCACTGTGCCAAAAGCCCCCGCGGCAACATAGTGTTTGATGTAAAAGTTTGACAATGTGTGGGCTTTGGATTTGGAAGACGAGGTTTGGGGTCGATTGTAATTCTCGTGAAACCGCATGGAGCCCTTGAACATGACCCGTCGAAAGAACTCTTTGATTTTCAACTCCCTGGTGGTTTCTGAGTCTTGGCGACTGTCTCGTATGTGCTGGTGCTGGTGGTGGGTCAATGCGGGTGTTGCCTTGTCAGTGGGCTCCACAAAATCGGGGTTTTTCTTGTAAGGATAAGATTTTTTAAAGTTAGTTTTTTCTTATGCAGGTGAACCTTGATAAATCAAGCCTTGCAGAGATGCAGTAAAAACAGAAATTTATGTGTTTTAAAGGAAGTGAAAAACTTAATTGGGCATTTGAACCCCTGCTTGCAAGTTCAACATCATCCTTTCAACTAATTTAACCCTCAGATGGCAGAGGGTTCATTCCCATCATGAGGCAAAGTTGGGATATGTTTGGGGTGTGGAGCATTTCACTATGACCCAAGGTTGCTGAAATGCTCCCAGGTTGAGAAGACCTAAGTTGGGAAAAATCTGGGAGACAAATTTTCTTTTGTTTTCAGTATTCTTCCATGCTGATCCTATACCAGGAATGCAGGAAAAAATGCCACCCAGTGAGGGATATTTTATTTTTCATACAAAATTTTCTGCTGGATTAGAAAGAAATTTTGGACTTTTTCCTGACTCAGGCCTTTGTACAAAAGTTGCATTTTTTAAATTCCCAGTTCTCAGTGATGCAAAATTTTGCAAACATTTCCCAACTTTGCCGCATATAAGGGTTAAGAAGCCATTTAAGCCCCAGAATATCACCATTTAGGATGTTTCCAAGTTTCTCGGAAAAAAGGGCTTGGCATTGTAGCTCAAACCTCTATGATTCAAAACTTCCGTAAGTTAATTTTTTTTGCTGGTCCCTTGAAATTTGACTTTGAGAGGTTTGACTGTTGATTGACCCTCCATAAGTCAAACCACCATAAGTCAAATACCTCCTTATCTCAAAATTTTTTCAAGTCCCAGTCTGAATTCCCTTATAACCAAAGCCTTGAAAACCTCTCTAGAAGTCTTTTTCTCCCAAACCTCTGTAAGTTGATTTTTCTAAGGCCTTTTGGTTAGTATTTCCTTGAAATATGAAAGAGAAAATCAATGAAGCAAATGATTTTAGGCATCTTGCAAGGAAGTGACAAACTAGTTATACATGAACCCTTGCATCCAAGTTCACAAGCTGTAAACTCATCAAGATCCAAGTTTAGGCAAAGAATATCCTCATTTAAAATTCCTGCAATTTTTTTTATTTATTGTTGCAGCAAAAATGATTGTCTCCTTAATGTACTCAAAACCTCCAAAAATTGAAACTTCCTGAGTCAAATTTTTATAAAAAGTTGTCTTAGAGAGGTTCAACTGTATAAGGTATAAGATTATATAAGATTTATATAAGATAATTTTTCTCTTAAAACGGTGGATAAGGAATGAAATGATTAAGTGGTACATTCTGTAAGGCAAGGTATCCTATTTTGGTGCACATTTTAATTATAGTTTGGCATTTTCCTGCAGAATTTCAAAAATTGGAAGATGAGACTCAAAATCCAAGAGCAGGTATCCCCACTCAGAATTTATTCAGCCAAATGTTCTTCTCTTTTAAAGATTCTTCGATATTTTTTTTTTCAAGAAAAAACTTCCATTTAATTCTTTCGCGAAATTAAATCACAAACCCGAAATCCTGTTTTCGGCAGAGTGTACTGCGCAGATTTCTGCTTGCATTCCGGGGAAACTTTTGGGTGATCAGGATGACTGCTGTGATTGTTCAGTTTGTGGTGCTCAGCTTTGGACCCCTTTTCCTCATCCTGAGGATGTGGCTTCTTGCCGTGGTGTCCCTTTTCGCCATCCTGGTTATGCTTAATGTGGTTTCCCTTCTTGTGGTCGTCCTCTTGATGGTGTGGCGCATGCTGGTGCTTGTTCTTGCCATCATTATCCGGCCTCTTGTCGCCATGGTGCCTCTGCTGGTTCTCGGGCTCATTGAGCTTGTGATTTGAGTTCACCGCGTGTGCACCACCTGGAAGTTGGAGGTT